GGTGGTAGAAGTGACGGTATCACACCCACATGCTACGTAGGAACGGGTTCGGTGACAAAAAGGTGTTTCAGCTGGGAAAGAAGGTAACTAAACTGAACATTAGAATGCAATATTGTGGCGGACGTAAAGCTTGCGAAAACAGAATTTTCTACCACCCCCGGAAAAATATTAACAAAAAACCACTGCAAAAATAACCAAAATATCCATGTATCTTTAGAATCATTCAAATATCATCCAATTCATTCAAATACACACGTTTATCATCAAATCTGTCAATATACCTCCCCAGCTCAGTGAATTTACCACCAATGAGATTGTACATCTTTTAAATGATGATTACATATCTGCTCAAATTATGCAGATCATTAAGTGTCATCTGATCATTGTATATCAAATTCAACAAAATATTCACTGCTTTGAAACTGCTAGAAGTTCTCATTCCACATGAGGTGTAAAGTCAAAGATCACTCTAAATATTTTATCAGATTTGAAGGATTTTTTTGAAACATATTCAATTGTATATTGTAATAAGACTGTCTGCTTTATAAAGAATGAATTTGATGTTGATATTCATTTTTGATTGATATCTAAATTGTTGAAGAAACTGAATTTGACACAGTAAAAAATAATTATTTATTACAATTATCATTTATAACATTTATTACTTTATCAATTTTATTTGATATAAATTGAATCTATGATCAATCAATATAATAAAAAATTTCAAATTGAATAATATATTTAAATTATTCAATATCAATTTAAATAATTTATTTTTTTAAATGAGAGTGCTATGAATGAATGTACTACAAATCAATGATATAAATGATTAAATAAAAAAATTTTTTATTATATTAAAAAATTTTATAAACAATCTCACAGATGATTAATTTTATCTGCAATAAATATTAATGAATATTTTAATTATAATATATATTAGAGATTGTGATATATATAATAATAATAATCATCTATGATTTTCATTTCATCTCTTATTACTTTTCAGAGCTTCTGCTTCTATCTTTTTTACAGAGAGCTTTCATTTCTATCTTCTCTATAGAGCCTCTGTTCTTTCTCTTGTATGTGATCACTTCTTCTATAAAAGTTGATCTCTGTAAACAATCACTGTATATATATAGAGGCGTACGCCCATCTCTTATTTTTTAGAGAATCAGACATGTTTATACTCGTAATTTGACCTCTATATAGCGGCACACGCTACAAAGATTCTATAATATAAAAAGATTTAATAAATTTATATATATTCAGATATTGCTCAAATGTCAATGAAATTATCATTATTTAATGATGAACAATTGCTCTTTTCATTATTCACAAACATTGTAAAATCTTTATAGAGAAGCTGATATTGAATTTTTATTCTTATCTTCATATTTTTCTGATTATAATTCTATAAAGAAGTCATTTCACATATTGAAAGAATGAATTAGAAGATATAGATGTCAGTTAAAAAATCAATTTAATAAAAATTTTAAAATCTTCTTACATCATACAATTGAAAATTTTATGAAAAAAAAAATGTAAAAGAATATTTCAGATCTGTTTATATAAAATAATATTGTAGTATCTTTTGTGCCGGTTAGCGGGGCGCCCAGCCCGCCGAGCGCGCTCGCCATTGGTCCGCCGCGCGCGCGAGGCCCGATGCGGCAGCACCGTTGCCGTTTCGGGGATGGCCGCGCCCTCGCCGCTTTTGCGCCTTCTCACGCCGCTTCAACGGACGCCGCGATCTATAAAAACCCGTCGCGCGCCCCCTCGCAACGGCCACACACTCCCTCCTTCCTTCTTCTTCATTTCTCTTTCTCTCTCCGCCCTCGCTCTGGCTCTGGCTCTGGGGGCTCGCGCTTCGCGTGCAACTGCCCCCTTTCTCCGGT